TGAACCCCATGTCTCACCCTCCAGTGCTAGAATTATAGACATGTACCACTACACCTAGCCACTACAAGGTTGTTTTTTGTTTGTTTTTGTCGCTTTTGTGAGTCGTGGGTCTTGAACTGAGCCTGGGTGCTGCCCCTGAGTTCTTCATCTCAAGGCTAGCATTCTACCACTTGAGCCACAGCACCACTTATGGTTTTCTGGTGGTTAATTGGAGATAAGAGTCTCGCAGACTTTCTTGCCCAGGCTGGCTATGAACCATGATCCTCAGATCTCAGCCTCCTGAGTAGCTAGGATTACAGGCATGAGCCACTGGAGCCTGGCTCTCCACCATAAGTTCTTTAAACTAAAAATTGTATTTTGTCACTCTGTTGCTGAAGCAGGAATGAACTTTTTTTTTAACTGTAATAGTAATTTTTTTTCTCCTAGTTTTATAAAGAGACATTTTTCAGACCTCTTAATTGCTCTGGTTTAGAGGGCTGGGAAGGTGGCTCAGTGGTAGACTGCTTGCCTTGCATGCATGAGACCCTGGGTTCGATTCCTCAGCACCACATAAGCAGAAAAACCCAGAAGTGGTGCTGTAGCTCAAGTGGTAGAGCGCTAGCCTTGAGCTGAAGAGCTAAGGGATAGCGTCCAGGCCCAGAGTTCAGGCCCCCTGACTGACAGAAAAAAAAAAAAAAAAAAGATAATGAACTTTTAAAATAACATTTTGGCAAAGCAAAGGTATGCCATGAATCTGGATTTTTCTTGCCCCTAATTATTTAAAATAACATAATTCAGTTGCCCAAATTGGGTAAGCTCTCATAACACCATCCCCATCTAGGTATCCATGTCCTGTCTGACACAGCTGCAATAAAGAAAATGTGCTGCCAGTGGCTCACATCTATAATCCTAGCTACTTAGAAGGCTGAGATCTAAGGATCATAGTCCAAAACCATTTCATACAAAAAAGTCCCAGTGAGATTCTTACTCCAATTAGCCATTCAGAAAACCAGAAGTGGAGCTGTAGCTCAAAGTATAAGGCCTTGCCAGGCACCTGTAATCCTAGCTACTCAGGAGGCTGAGATCTGAGGATCACAGTTCAAAGCCAGTCTGGGCAGGAAAGTCCATGTGACTCTTATCTCCAGTAAAGCACTAGAAAACCGGAACTGGCGCTGTGGCTCAAGTGGTAGAACACTCACCTTAAACTGAAGAGTGCAGGGACAGCGCCCAAGCCCAGAGCTCAAGCCCCTTGACTGACCAAAAAAAAAAAAAAGTAAGGCCTTGAAGTCAAAGCGAATACAGCCCAAAAAAAAAAAAAAGAAATAGGTACCTTTTTTTTTCTGACCAGGTATTGAACCGTGTTAATAGGTAAGCATTCTACCACCGAAATGCATCCCCTAGCCCAAGTGTATGTATCTGTAAACAGATTATTTACCACTCAGTTTTGACCACATTTAAAAGTTTATACACCGAGATTAACCAATTTCTCCTCATCACTAAGCTGGATTGCTCTCAGTTAGTGTCCTGAAATACACATCCTTCTCCAACTGCAACTCAATAAAAGAAGAGGAAAAAAATCCTTGCATATGCCTACAATTAGAGTGAAATTGAGTCAACCCTTCTTCTCATGTGCTCCTTCCTCCCACTTACTCTTGCCTTCTCTATTTCCCTTTTCCCTGTGGGCCCTTTAAGCAGCTACTGAGCAACTGCCATTGATGCTGCAACTGTCATAGATTCTGCAGGTTTTCTTCTGGATTCTTAAATGCATTTCATTTAGGACAGCCTTAAGTATTAATCATGACTTCTGATTTAAACCAAGCTACTGAGGATGATGAAGGTAAGAAATTATCAAGAGGAGCTTTGTTGGGACATTCTGAGTTCAAACTCTAGTACCTCTAGAGAGAGAGAAAGAGAGAGAGAGCGACATTGTGCCTTATTCTTCCATAATTGTTTTCTGGTGAGGTTGTTGGTTTGTTTTGTGCTGCTACTGAGGCATGAACTCAGGGCCTAGGTGATGTCCCTTAGCTTTTTTAGTCAAGGCTGACACTACCACTTAAGCCATAGTTGTATTTTTGTTTTTTCCTGTATATGTGTGCTGGGCCTGGGTACTACCTCTGAGCTTTGTTACTCAAGGCAAGTGCTCCACTTCTGGCTTTTTGGTTGTTAATTGCAGATAAGAGTCTCAGAACTTTCTTGCTTGCTCAGACTTTGAACCACAAACCTAATATCTTAGCCTCCTGAGTATACCTAAGATTATACCACTACACGGCTTCGTTTTCTGTTTTTTTGTTTGGTTGGTTGCTTGCTTGTTGTTTTGCTAGGCTACCTTTGCAATGAGATAGCTTCTAACCCATGACCAGTGGAGTGCCTGCTATGCCGTGACTGACCATGTGTTATATAGGTTTCTTAGAATGGTGATGCTGGTAAACACCCTTCCTGTTCTTCTCATGCATTACTTTGGCCAGCAGACTGGGGTTAGGAGTTCAATTTGAATATGGCACAAAGATTTTTATTTTTCTGAGAAAAGTCAATAATGCTATTATTCTATCTGTCTTGGTGGTGGTGGTGGTTGCAGTGGTTGCAGTTGCGGGGCTTGAATTCAGCGCTTGGTTGCTCTGCCTGAGCCTTTTTGTGCTCAAGCCTAGCTCTCTACTACTTGAGCCACAGTGTCACTTCCAGTTTTTGAGTGTTTAATTGAAGATAGAGGGTCTCACAGGAACTTTTCTGCCCAGGCTGGCTTTAAACCGTGATCCTCAGATCTTAACCTCTTGAGTAGAAATACAGGTGTGAGCCACAGGCACCTCGCTCTACTCTGCCTGTCTTAATGGACTGTCTTACAATTCAGGCTCTTACATGTATATCAAAACTTGATACAGAGAACAAATTCCCTTTGACAAATCATTTCAGATATGCTTAATCAGAAAATCTTCATGTCTCTTAATTTGTCTTTGTGCTTATTTTAATAACTGGCCTTTTCACAGAATTGGAAGGACAAAGGGTAAACAAATGCAGCAGTGGTACTCACTAGACACTGTTGAAAATGAACTATATAACCTGTGGGTAGGGATGGGAGGGAAAAACTGAGAAAGAACAAGGGAAGGAATGACATTGTCCAAAAAGAATTACCTGACTTATGTAACTGTAATCCTCTGTGCATGACCTTTATAATAACAATTAAAAAAATTCATGTAAAATAAAAGAGAAGTTCAGGGCTGGGAATGTGGCTTAGTGGTAGAGTGCTTGTCTAGCACGAATGAAGCCCCAATGAACCATATTAACAGAAAAAAACGGAAGTGATGCTGTGGCTCAAGTGGTAAAGTGCTAGTCTTAAGCAAAAGAAGCTCAGGGACAGTGCCCAGGCCCTGAGTTTAAGCCCCAGGATTGGCAAAAATAAATAAATAAGAAGTTTACTTCTTGGGGGCTGGGAAGGTGGCTCAGTGGTAGAGCACTTGCCTTGCATGCCTGAGGCCCTGGGTTCGATTCCCAGCACCACATAAGCAAAAAGAAAAAAGCCAGAAGTGGTGCTGTGGCTCAAGTGGTAGAGCGCTAGCCTTGAGCTGAAGAGCTGAGGGACAGTGCCCAGGCCCAGAGTTCAGGACCCACGACCAGACCCAAAAAAATAAAAAAAATAAATAAATAAAATATAGTGGAATTGATAAATGTGTGGTCATGTTTGTAGCATTGAGTATTGCAGGGGTTGGAGGTATGGCTCAGATGGTAGGGCACCAGCCAGCAATGAGTGAAAGCATCAGATACCAAATTCAATTCCCAGACTCAAAGGAAAACAAATAAAATTCATTGTTACACACTGAACGTTTTACTTTGCTGTATTTAAATTAACAATGTTGCCAAATGACATATAATACCCAATTTCTCCACCCAAACCTATTACCTTTAAGGATGGTTCTACTGTATAGTTCATTAGATCTAAAATTCCACAAATGTGATTTGCTTTGTATCTTTCCTTTCATTGATCTAGCCCCTTAACTTCATCTACATCATAGGCAGTAAAAAGAAATCTAAGAATGACTCTCAACATAATGGCCTAGTTATACAGCTTCATGCATTAAAGATCTCCAACTATTCAGACCTGCCACAGATACCTTATTGTCACTAGTTAAAAGGAAGTCCTGCCAAGCACCAGTGGCTCCTACCTATAATCCTAGCTACCCAGGAAACAGATCTGAGGATCATAGTTTGAAGCCAAGCCCAACAGGAAAGTCCATGAGATTCTTTATTTATTTATTTTTTTAGGTTAGCACTTTACCACTTGAGCCACAGTGCCACTTCTGGCTTTTTCTGTTTACGTGATGCTGAGGAATCAAACCTAGGGTCTCATGCATGTGATATAAGCACTTCTACTACTGAGCCACCTTCCCAGTCCTCTGTGAGATTCTTATCTCCAGCTGACCACCAAAAAGCTGGAAGTGGAGTTGTGACTCAAGTGGTAGAACACTAGCCTTGAGCAAAAGAGCTCAGGAACAGTACCCCAGGATCAGCACCAAAAAGAGGTGGTAGTGGGGAGAGAAGGATGGAGAAGAAAAAAAAGATGGGAGGGAAAGATGGCAGAAGGAAATAACTTTTTATTCATGTTTACAGCCAACACTAAGTGAACACTTCCTATGTATCAGATCTTGTTTTACTTAGTCATTCCAGATTATCCATCCAATAAATAATAAAGTGAGGTTTAAGCCTAGGTTTGGTTCCTAAGCTTGCCTTAGTACAGTATCTCGTTTAATACCTCCTTAGATCAAGCCTATGTTTCTTTTGGTCAGGGTTGCCACAAATCCCATCAGGTCATCCTATAGTGGAGTTTTATAAAATAACAAGCTTTTCTGAAGTGCATAACTTTTCAGTTCTTTCCTCTCACTTCTAGAAACTACATGTCTGTGTTACAGGGATTCACCTACCTACTAGAATTCAAAACAGCAGTTGCCAACTTCCCTATTTGTGTTACCTGCCAGGAGGGGAGGAAGCCGCAAAGGCAGGTCTCAGGCTTAACTTCTTTTTACATTTTCCAGGGTAAAAAGTATCACTGGGATGCAGAAACTCAAGGATGGATTCTCGGCTCCTTTTTTTATGGCTACATCATCACACAGATTCCTGGAGGATACGCTGCCAGCAGAGTAGGCGGGAAACTGCTGCTGGGATTTGGGATCCTGGGCACTGCCATCTTCACCCTGTTCACTCCCCTAGCTGCAGACTTAGGAGTTCTAGCCCTGGTTGTGCTGAGAGCACTAGAAGGCCTGGGAGAGGTAACTGTTTCATCTCTTCTTTTACATCTTATACTGTAATCTCATTCTCCTCTTAATTTTTTTGTTTTTTCCCCAGTCGTGGGTCTTTCAACTCTGGGCCTGGACACTGTCCCTCAGCTCTTCAGCTCAAAGCTAGCACTCTGCCACTTGAGCCACAGCGCCACTTCTGGTTTTCTAGTGGTTTATTGGAGATAAGAGTCTCACAGACGGGGCTGGGAAGGTGGCTCAGTGGTAGAGCGCTTGCCTTGCATGCCTGAGGCCCTGGGTTCAATTCCTCAGTACCACATAAGCAGAAAAAGCTAGAAGTGGTGCTATGGCTCAAATGGTAGATTGCTAGCCTTGAGCTGAAGAGCTGAGGGACAGTGCCCAGGCCTAGAGTTCAGGCCCATGACTGGCAAAAAAAAAAAAAATGAAAAAAAAAAAAAAAAAAAAAAGAGTCTCACAGACTTTCCTGCCAGGGCTGGCTTTGAACCACGATCCTCATATCTCAACCTCCTGAGTAGCTAGGACTCCAGGTGTGAGCCACCAATGCCTGGCTTATTATCCTCTTGTTTTAAGTAATACCATTCTTTGGTGTAAACATAAAACAAAAAGTAACACTGGGTAATATCAGTTGAGAATAAATCTTAGCTAAAACTAGATGAGCCCATTAAAGAACACAACAAAATCAGAAGCTTTCTCAGACTACAGAAAATGTTTTACAGACTCTATATAATTCATATCTTAGGAAATAAGAAAATAAACTATTGTTACAACAGTGAAGGTAACCCAGGTACCACTGGATTGTAGTTTGAAGCTACCCTAGGCAAGAAAAGTCCCTAAGACTCTTTTTTTTTGAGGGGGGGGCTCTGGTCATGGGGCTTGAACTCTGGGCCTGGGCGCTGTCCCTCAGCTCTTCAACTCAAGGCTAGCCCTCTACCACCTGAGCCACAGCGCCACTTCCAGCTTTTTTCTTTTTGCTTATGTGGTACTGAGGAATTGAACCCAGGGCCTCATGCATGCAAGGTAAGCGCTCTACCACTGAGCCACCTTCCCAGCCCATCCCTAAGACTCTTATCTCAAACTAAACACCAAAAAGCCAGAAGGGTAGGTATGGATCAAGTGCTAGAGCACTAGCCTTGAAAACAAAAGCTCAGGGACAGTATCCAAGTCCTGAGTTTAAGCCCCAGGACCAACACACAAACACACCAGTGAATGTAGGCTATACTTATCTCTCTCTTGTACTTTTGCCACATTTTACCCAATAGGCTGTTGAGTTGCTTTATTTTACCTTTAGATTTGTTATGTACAGAACATCCTCTTTATCATTTCTCCTTTCATGATTTCATATAACAACTATCCAAATTTATTTCTTATTCTTCTGGATATTTCTGCTATAAGAATTACTATTTCTGGGGCTGGGAAGGTGGCTCAGTGATAGAGCGCTTGCCTTGCATGCATGAGGCCCTGGGTTCAATTCCTCAGTACCACATACGCAAAAAGAAAAAAGCCGGAAGTGGCGCTATGGCTCAAGTGGTAGAGTGCTAGCCTTGAGCCTTAAGCTGAGGGACAGTGCCTAGGCCCAGAGTTCTGGCCCCACAAGGGGACCCAAAAAAAAAAAAAGAATTCCTATTGCTAGCCGGGCACCAGTGGCTCATGCCTGTAATCCTAGCTACTCAGGAGGCTGAGATCTGAGGATGTCGGTTCCAAGACAGCCTGGGCAGGAAAGTCCATGAGACTCTTTATCTCCAATAAACCACTAGAAAACCAGAAGTGGTGCTGTGGCTCAAAAGGTAGATCGTTCACCTTGAGCTGAAGAGCGCAGGGACAGCGCCCAAGCTCAGAGTTCAAGCCCCACAACTGACAAAAAAAAAAAAAAAACAATTACTATTGCTCAATGCCAGTGAGTCTGGTCTGTAATCCTAGCTACTCAGGAGATCTATCTACTCAGCTGAGATCTGAGGATCCAAGTTTGAAGCCAGTCCAGGCAGGAAAGTTTGTGAGACACTTATCTCCAGTTAACCAGCAAAGGGCCAAAAGCAAAGCTGTGACTCAAGTGGTAGAGTACTGGCCTTGAGCAAAAAAGCTAAGGGACAGTGCTCAGGCCCTGAGTTTGAGCCCCAGTACCAGCCTGCACAACGCATGACCACACACGCACATTATTATTACAATTTTTTTTTTTTTTTGCCAGTTGTGGAGGCTGAACTCTGGGCCTGGGCGCTGTCCCTCAGCTCTTCAGCTCAAGGCTAGTGCCCTACCATTTGAGCCACAGCGCCACTTCCAGCTTTTTTTTTTCTTTTTGCTTATGTGGTGCTGGGGAATCGAACCCAGGGCCTCATGCATGCAAGGCAAGCACTCTACCACTGAGCCAACTTCCCAGCCCCTATTATTACAATTTTTTGTCTTTTTCTTTCTTAGATGTTTATCATTTTTAATATTTTTATAATTGTTTTTGTTTCAATGTAAGTACTGGGGCCCAAACCTAGGGCCTTGTGCATACTAAGTAAGCACTCTACCACTGCACTATACCCCTAGCCCTATTTTGAAGTTGTTTAATTCCAGTATTTCTTTTTTCCCCCACTTTTATGTTATATCTACATCTTTAAGTAATCTCTTTTTATTTGTAACTTTTAATGGTACCCTATGAAAACTAGACATTGGTTTAACTTTGCTGTCTTTATTTCCTTAACTCAAGCATGGTGATTTCTAATTCTGACATGTAGCATGAAGTTCACATTGGATGGTATTGTCTTATGTGGGAAAGAACATCAGCTGCAGGCAGAAAATCATAGATTAAGTAATAATTCTAACAATAAGATTTAGGATAAGTCCTAATTACTAAGCCTGAATTCCATCGTTTTAAAAATTGGAATAAAGCTGGGCATGGTAGTGCAAGACTGTAATCCTAGATGGTTGGGTGCCTCAAGCCAGAAGATCTCAAGCTAGAGGACTACCTAAGCTACATAAGGCAGCTTAATGAGTCTTTCACTCCGAATAAAAATTTTAAAGGGGGGCTGTTAATGTGACTTAGTGGGTAAAGTGCTTCCCTAGTATGCATGAAGCCCTGGATTCAATTCCTAAGTATCACATAAACAGAGAAAGCTGGAAGGGGCGCTCTAGTTCAACTGTTAGAGTGCTAGTCTTGAGCAAAAGAATTTCAAGGACAGTGCCCAGGCCCTGAGTTCAAGCCCCAGGACTGGCCAAAATAGAAAAGAGGATGCAAGCTGGTTTGTGGCTCACGCCTGTAATCCTAGCTACTCAGAAGGCTGAGATCTGAGGATCTCGGTTCAAAGCCAGCCTAGGCAGGAAAGTCTGTGAGACTCTGATCTCTAATAAACCACTAGAAAACTAGAAACTAGAAGTGGCGCTGTGGCTCAAGCCGTAGAGCGCTGACCTAGAGCTGAAGAGGGCAGATAGCGCCCAGGCCCAGAGTTCAAGCTCCACGACCTACAAAAAAAAGAAAGAAAGAAAGAAAAGGATGCACAAGCTAGATCTAAAATATGCTGGGACATGATAAATTATACAGGACTCTAGATTTGCACACACAGTGAGACCAAAGGAAGATGCTCTTAGGCAAGGAACACAAAGGCACAATGCCTATGCATCTGATCATACAAAATGTTTAGCGAAATGAAATCCAGGATATGGAAACAAGATTTTTTCTTTGTTGTTGTTTTTGTTTTCATTTTGCCTTGTTTGTTCATTATCTGTTTTGGCTAGGGTAAGGAAAATACAGAAATGGAGGAAAATGGATGAACAAATACAGCAGTGATACTCAGTGCTTTAAAGTTTTATCATTCATTCAAGTGTTCTTGCTTTGTTTTGATGTGCCTAAGGGCTTGAACTAAACTCAGTGTATGGGTGCTGTTCCTTAGCTTTTTCACTGAAGACTAACACTCTACCACTTAAGCCACTTCCAGCCTTTTGCAAGTTGACTCTCAGACTTTCCTGGCCAGCCTGGCTTTGAACCATGATCCTTAAATAGCAGCCTCCTGAATAGCCAGGATTACAGGCATGAACCATGGGCACCCAGTTGCATCCAAATGTTCTTATTTTGTCCTTATCAATAAAGGTCTATTAACTAAACCTTTCCCAATTACAAAATAAAAAGTATCCCTCTATTACCAGGTTATTCTCATTGCGAGAATAAAATGTATTTGTTTTTGTTGTTGCTGTTGTTGATAGTCATGGAGCTTGAACTCTGTGCTTAGGCATTGTACCTTCACTCTTCAGCTCAAGGTGAGCGCCCTACCACTTGAGCCACAGCACCACTCTGGTTTTCTAGTGGTTTATTGGATATAAGAGTCTCACGGACTTTGCTGCCCGGGCTGGCTTTGAACTATGATCCGCAGATCTCAGCCTCCTGAGTAGCTAGGATTACAGGTGTGAGCCACTAGTGCCCGGCTTTGTACTTTATTTTTCTTTGATCCAAGTATTAATGTATTCTCATATTGTAGCTTCCTGTTTGTGAAACTTGTTTTTAACATTATAGCTTACTGTTTGTATCACTGCTGTCATCACAGGTGACTATTTCTTTTCTAACTAGAATTGAAGTTGTGTTTACACAGAGGTTCTCTCAGCCTTCGCCATTTTTCCCATATGTATTACATGCTTCATCCACAAACTGAGGTCAGCATCGTCCATCCTTCCTATCTGATTTACTATAAATATACCTACATTACTCCAAGGTTTAGACCAGCATGTCCACAGCATAATTTCTTTACTCTATAATTATTCGTTAATTTGCAGTATTCCTTAGTATTTTTCTTTTTCCACATTTTTTTTCTTTTTGGTCAGTCATGGGGCTTGAACTCTGGGCCTGGGCATTGTCCCTGAGCTCTTCACCTCAAGACTAGTGTTCTACCTCTTGAGCCACAGTGCCACTTCCAGGTTTTTCTATTTATGTGGTACTGAGGAGTCAAACCTAGGGCTTCATGCATGCAAGATAAGCACTCTACCACCTTCCCAGTTGCTTAAGGTTGACACTCTACCACTTGAGCCCCAGCACCACTTCTGGCTTTTTCTGTTTATGTGGCACTGAGGAATCGAACCCAAGACTTCGTGCATACTAGGCAAGCACTAAACCACTTCCCAGCCCAGTATTTCTATTTTTTATTTATTTATTTATTTTCGGTGCCAGCCCTGCAGCTTGAACTTGGGGCCTGGGTGCTGTTCCTTAGCTTTTTTGCTCAAAATTGGTGCTCTACTACTTAGGCCACAGCTTCAGGCTTTTTTGGTGATTAAGTGGAGATGAGAGTTCCACAGACTTTCCTGCCCAGTCTCACTTCCAAAATTATAGGTGTGAGCCACCAGCACCCAACTTCCTTTTTGTTTTTGAAAGGATCAGTAAAATGTACAAATTTTTTTTTTTTTTTTTTGGTTAGTCATGGGGCAGCTATTTAGCTCAAGGTTAGTGCTCTCCCACTTGAGCCACAGTGCCACTCAGCTTTTTCTGTTTACGTGGTACTGAGGAATTGAACCCAGGGCCTCATGCATGCAAGGCAAGCACTCTACCACTGAGCCACCTTCCCAGCCCAAACGTACAAATTATTAAGGCACTTACTTTTCACTCTATTAAGTTGTGATAGGAAAAGAATATACTTTTTTTTTTTTTTTGGCCAGTCCTGGCTTGAACTCAGAGCTTGGGCACTGTCTCTAAGCTTCTTTTGCTCAAGTCTAGCACTCTACCACTTGAGCCACAGTGCCACTTCAGCTTTTTTCTGTTTATGTGGTACTAAGGAATTGAACCCAGGGCTTCATGCATGCTAAGCAAGCACTATACCACTCAGCTATATTCCTAGCCTAAGATACTTTTTTAATAGACTGCTAACTAAACATCTCTAGAATGAGAATGGTCCCTTGATTTTTTTTTTTTTTTTACCAATCTGGGGCTTGAACTCTGGGCTGAGTGCTGTCCTTCAGCTCTTCAAATCAAGGCTAGTACACTACCACTTTAGCCACAGCACCACTTCCAGTTTTCTGGTGGCTTATTGGAGATCAAGAGTCTCATGGAATTTCCTCCCCAGGCTGGTTTTGAACCTCAATCCTCAGATCTCAGGCTCCTGAGTAGCTGGGAATATAGGCATGAGCCCTGCTCCTGACTGATCTTCATAATAATTAGGCAAGGTAGAATCTTACCTGTCTTTTTACAGTTGAAGCAACTGATATTTAAGGATTTTAACAATTCTAAAGTTACACAGCTAAGAAGTGGCCAATACTATGAATCTGTAGATTTGAATGTATCAAATCCGTTCTGTCTTCCTGTCCTATGGTGTCTCCTCATCTATCAAGTCTTTGCGGGCCCCTTTTCCTCTGTGTTCCATTACATCTGCAGATCAGTAATTGGCATCCACAAAGCTATCATTAAGGGAACCACTACACATAAATACTCTAACTGAATCAATCCTTTTTTTCTTTCCTTCCTTCCTTTCTTTTTCTTTTTGTATCAGTAGTGGGGCTTGAACCCAGGGTCTTGTGTGCTTGCAATTGACTTTTTTGCTTAAGGCTAGCACTACCATTTCAGCTACAGCTCTATTTTCAGCTTTTTGGTGGTTAAGCAGAGATAAGAGTCTCACAGACTGTCCTACCTGGGCTGGTTTTGAACCATGATCCACAGATCTTAGCCTCCTAAGTAGCTAGGATTACAGGCGTGAGCCACCAGCTCTGGTTTGATTTTTATCCAGAAATTATATTGTAACAAAATAGTTGATTTAAATCATAGCAAAACTTGCTTGTATTTCATCAGAAATATTTTCCCCCCTCTTTAGGGCGTTACATTTCCAGCCATGCATGCCATGTGGTCCTCTTGGGCTCCGCCTCTTGAAAGAAGCAAGCTTCTTAGCATTTCATATGCCGGTAAGGTAACTATTCTTAGAAGATTTTTGCTATAATATATTTTATATATAAACCAACATTGGAAGAAAAATCAGTGTCTTCATGCCAGCATCATGGAATATTGGCTGACTTCCTTGGAAGAACATAAGTTTTAAAAGGTATAACTTCATTATTCAACTTTCTTTTTGTGTGTGTGTGTGTGTGCTGGTAATAGGTTTGAATTCAGCCTGGATGCTGTCCTGTAGCTTTTTCACCCAAGGTTGTGGCTACTACTTGACTTACTCCTTCCAGTTGACTACCACTTGACTCACTTCCAACTTTTTGGTGGTTAATTAGGGATAAGAGTCACAGATTTTCCTACCCAAGGCTTGATTTGAACTGTGACCCTCAGATCTCAGCCTCCTGAGTAGCTAGGATTACAGGCTTGAAACCACCATTGTTCATCTTTTTTCTGACTCAACAGCATACAGTAATATGTCTTAATTGCCTAGTATCATTTTCCCAATCTGCCATCATTTTATTTCCAAGTATGTTATTTCTTCAAATGGTAGATATAAAGAATGCTGGGTTTTGTTTTTCCTTTTTTTATGTCTTTTTGTATTTAGGATTGAACCCAGGATGTTACACTTGCTAGGCAAGTGCTTTGCCATTGAACTACATCCCAGACTAAGAATGCTGTTTTTAAAGGGAGGGAAGAATTGAGCACTTTTTTTCCTTTAATTGTGGCTTCTAATTTGATTATGGAATGAACGTATCCTTCAGCTCTCTACACTTCTGTTCATGGGCCTTTTTTTGCTCATTTATTTGTCATCATTTTGAGCTACAGGTGAGAAAACATGAGTTTTCTTTCTTTTTACTTTTTTCCTTTTTCTTTTTTGTCAGTCGTGGGGCTTGAACTCTGGGCCTGGGCACTGTCCCTAAGCTCTTCAGCTCAAGGATAGCGCTCTACCACTTGAACTACAGTGCCTCTTTCAGCCTTTTGTGGTCATGTGGTGCTGAGGAATCGAACCCAGGGCTTCATGCATGGAAGGCAAGCACTCTACCACTGAGCCACCTTCCCAGTCCTCATTATCTCTGTAGTAGATAGATTTGAAGCAATTAGAGGTCTAAAAAATGTCTTCCCAGTCCCAAACATGAGTTTTCTACATGTGAATTATAATTTTACCAGATTACATAAGAATTTACAGCCTTCCAGTTCGTGAATGGAAACATTTCTTTTCTTTTCTTTTTTTTGGGGGGGTCTGGTCTTAGGGCCTGAACTCTGGGCCTGGGCGCTGTCCCTCAGCTCTTCAGCTCAAGGCTAGCACTCTACCACTTGAGCCACAGAGCCACTTCCAGCTTTTTTCTTTTTGCTTATGTAGTGCTAAGGAATCGAACCCCGGGCCTCATGCATACAAGGCAAGTGCTCTACCACTGAGCCACCTTCCCAGCCCCTGGAAACATTTCTACTTGACTAATTTGTGTTTGTTTTGTTTTTCCTTAGAGGAGAAGTATATTGTTTTTTGTTTGTTTTCTTTTAAAGAGAAGTCTAAATATGTAACCCAGGTTAAGACTCACTGTATAGCCAGTCTGGCCTCCAACTCAAAGCCTCTGTTCCTCAGCCTCCCAAATGCTAGGATTACTGACATATACCACTATGCCTGACTCCACCTAACTAAAGGGGTGGGGGTAGAGGAAGGCAGTACTGGGGTTAAACTTTGGGTCATACATGTGCTAAGCAGTCTCTAGGTTGAGCCACACTTCCAGCTCTGTTTTGTGCCCCTCTTGTTTATTTAATAGTTTGTTTACTGCAGTGTGAGCTCAGGACCTTGAACTTGCTACACAATCACTCTCACTGAGCCATACCTCCAGCCTAGCATTGGTTATTTTTGAGACAGGACCTCACTTCTGTCCAGGCACATGCCTAGACCATAGTCCTTCTTCACCAAAACTGGGAAGTCAGACACAGTCTACTAAGCCCTAGTCTCTTCTGTTGAGATGAGATCTAGAAGAGTTTTATGCCTAGACTGGCCTGGAGCCATGTTCCTCCCAATATCAGCCTTCTGCACAGCTTGTATAATAGGCATGTGCCACCACTCTGGGCTCTGGGTTGAGAAGAGGGCATCACAAACTTTTTATGCCCAGAGTGGCCTCCAGCCTTCTCCCTCTCTCATCCTCCCAAGTAGCTAGGATTACAGGCATAGGCCAGCCTCAGGCCTCTGTTCCACCTGACTGATTTTAATTACAGTGATTGGGAAAGGCCTGTCTGTGGTGACTTTTAAGTTATCATCTGAAGGATGAAAACAAATCAGTCATGCAAAGAGCAGAGAGAAGATCAATCCAGCTGGCTAGAATATCATGTACAATGATTCATATACAAGGACTCTCAGTGTCCTAAGCCATTAGAACTCTTAAAATAACATAAAAATACAAAGGGTTGTTTTTTTGGGGGTTTTTTGCTTTACTTTGTTTTTGTTTTTCCGGAGTGGAGCCTGAACTCTGGGCCTGGGCACTATCCCTGAGCTCTTCAGCTCAAGGCTAATACTCTACCACTTGAGCCACAGCACCACTTCCAATTTTCTGGTGGTTAATTGGAGAGAAGAGTCTCACTGGACTTTCCTGCACAGGCTGGCTTTGAACCACAATCTTCAGCTCTCAGCCTCCTGAGTAGCTAGGATTACAGGTGCTGGGCTAAGAGTTCAAAGTTTTTCAAAGAAAACCACTTTGGGTAGCTAGAAGAAGATAATGAATAAAGAGGATAATGGCAGAAGATAAAGATTCAGAAATAAACAAAAGCCAGATCCTATCAAACCTTACAGACTGGATTGAAGATTCCTTGCCTCCTGCTATATAAGGGGTAAACATTAGGCTCTCCTAATGTTGTTGTAGTTGTTTTTGTAGTGACTTTTTGGGTTTTGTTGGGACTGTCTCAAATTATAAGCCAGATTTGTCTTCAACTTGATATTCCTCAAGGCTTGTTCTCTATCACTTGAACCATAGCTCTGCTTCTAGCTTTTTAGTGGTTAATTAGAAATGAGTCTCATAGACTTTCCTGCCTGGGCTGGCTTTAAACCAGGATCCTAAAACCAGTCTCCTGAGTAGCTAGGATTACAGGCATTAGCCACCAGTATCTAGCTCAATTTACATTTTTTGTTGGTGGTGGTGGTGGTTGTTGGGCTTGAACTCTGGGCCTAGGCACTGCTCCTCAGCTCCAGGCCAGTGCTCTACCACTTGAGCCACAGCGCTACTTCTGGTTTTCTGAGTGGTTTATTGTAGGTAAGAGTCTCATGGACTTTCCTGCCCAGGCTGGCTTTGAACCTTGATCTTTAGATCTTAACCTCCTGAGTAGCTAGGATTTCAGGCATGAGCCTCGAGGCCCCACTCAATTTACATTTTAAGACTATTTTTGCTCCTGTGAGTTGATGTGAGAAATCTGATGATAAGTTCTCTAACAGGATCTGTGTCTGGTTCCCCTTTACCTGTGGAATAAAGTCTGAATCTCAAGGGTTCAAAATTGCTGAGTCTGCCAAGCACTGGTGGTTCACTCCTGTAATCCTAGCTACTCAGGAGGCTGAGATCTGAGGATTGTGCTTTAAAGCTAGCCCAGTCAGAAAAAGTCTGAGAGACTCTTTTTTTTTTGTCGGTCGTGGGGCTTGAACTCTGGGCCTGGGCGCTGTCCCTCAGCTCTTCAGCTCAAGGCGAGCGCTCTACCACTTGAGCTACAGCGCCACTTCCGGTTTTCTGGTGGTTTATTGGAGATAGGAGTCTCACGATCTCTCCTGCCCGGGCTGGCTTTGAACCATGATCCTCAGATCTCAGCCTCCTGAGTAGCTAGGATTACAGGCGTGAGCCACCAGCGCCCAGCTCTGAGAGACTCTTATCTCCATTTAACCACCAGAAAATCGGCACTGTGGCTGAAGTGGTAGAGTGCCAGCCATGAGCCGAAGAGCTTAGGGATAGTGCCCAGGCCCAGAGTTCAAGCCCCATGACCAACCAAAAAAAAAAAGAATGCTTAGTCTTTGCTCCTTTATTGCAGCTAGCCTGGAGCTTGCACACAGTGCCTGACATGGGGTTAGTACTTCAAAACCAACCTATTTTTCTAGCTTTATCTTTTGTCTTTTTCCTTCCCCCAGAGTGAAGTACTCAGACCCACTGTGCTTTCCTACTGCTACTCTGTTACTCATCCTGTCAGACCCTTTTTCCCTCTTTGTTTCTATGAACCATACCTGTTTCAAAGTCTAGTTGCTCCTGTGTATCATTTCCTCACTTCTAAATATCAGAGATAATGTCTCCTGTATTAATTCTGTGATGCTCTTTGACTTTTTTTTGGTGGGGGGGGACTGGGGTTTGAACTCAGAACCTCATGATTGCTAGGAAGGTACTCTACCATTGAGCCATGCCATCAGTCTTTTTTCTTGGTAACAGTCTGAGGGCATCAAAGGGTGTCATAGACTTTCCTGCCCTGGCTGGCGTCAAACCTTCATCATCCTCCAGGTCTCAGCCTCCTGAATAAATAGGATTACAGGCATGAGCCCAGTACTCTGCCTTCTGTGATTCTTAGCACTTCCTAACTTGTTATAATTGCTGGTTTATTTTTGTCTTTAACATGGACTAAAACTTGAAATCAGACATCATGACTCATCCATCAGTTTAGCTCCCATTGCATTTACTAAAATGTCTCAGATAGTTAAAATGTATTTTATTCTTTTATTTATCTGAGGCAATTGTTTATCATCTCAAGGAAGATTACCATAAAGCTTCCTTTGTATTTCAGCCAGATTGCTACATCAGGCTCTGTTTATCAGTTTTACAGACCAGCCTTGAACCTTTCCCCAGGCTCCTGGACTTGTAATATTGAGTGCCTCTTGTAATATTGAGTGCCTCGGGATAGCAGGCATTCACAGACATATTTACATCCTGTTTCATATTAGAACTCACCAACAGAACTAATGTAACTATACTAATGTATATGTTTCATATATTTAGTACCTGTGGCGGTTGCAGCTCATTCAGATTTTAGTAGGTCTTTCTCTTCTTCATCAGCTGTTCCAATCCTCTGTAGCAGTAGGTCTGCGCCTCCTTTGTTCATCTTCCTCCACAATTTATCATCTTATATTTTCTAGGAGCGCAGCTTGGAACAGTAGTTTCACTTCCTCTTTCTGGACTAATTTGCTACTATATGAATTGGACTTATGTATTCTACTTTTTTGGTAAGTATAAAATTACAACTTACAAAATAGCAAAAACTGTCTAATAATCAGTATACATATATATAATATCATATATATATATATATATTACATATTCTGACCCACTGATGTAATCTTCTCCTAAACCACAAAATTCTAAATCTCTGGTGACTGTTTTTCAAGTTGTTAAGGTTAAAAAGGTCTAGCTGAGGGGCTGGGAAGGTGGCTCAGTGGTAGAGCACTTGCCTTGCAAGCCTGAGACCCTGGGTTCGATTCCTCAGCACCACATAAGCAAAAAGAAAAAAAAGCCAGAAGTGGTGCTGTGGCTCAAGTGGCAGAGCGCTAGCCTTGAGCTGAAGAGGGGAGGGACAGCGCCCAGGCCAAGAGTTCAAGCCCCACGACTGGACCCAAAAAAAAAAAAAAGGTCAAGTTGAGATGTAACCTAATGTTAGTTTTGGTATATTTCTCAGTAGAAACAGCTCTTGAATCCTGGACTTAGATGTCACACTATCCGAATTACTGTCTTGGGTATTATAAAAATATATGTTTTAGGACTGGGAATGTGGCTTAGTGGTAGATTGCTTGCCTAGCATGCATGAAGCCCTGGGTTCGATTCCTCAGTACATAAACATAACAGAAAAAGCCGGAAATGGTGCTGTGGTTCAAGTGGTAGAATGCTAGGACTGTGCCCAGGCCCTGATTTCAAGCCCCAGGACTGGCAAAATAATAAAAAATAAAAATATGCATTTTAGCCCAGTGCTGGTGGCTGCCTGCAATCCCAGCTATCAGAAGGCTGAAAGCTGAGGATCACAGTTCAAAGCCAGCGTTGACAGGAAAATTCATTAACCAGCAAAATGCTGAGAGTGGAGCTGTGGCTCAAATGGTAAAGCCTTGAGTAAAAAAAGCTCAAGGACAAAAAAAAGCTCAAGGACAGTGCCCAGGCCCCAAGTTCAAGCCCAAGACTAGCACAAAAATATTTTTTTTCATTTATATGGTAGCTCCTGGTAGGCAATTTATACAGTTAAAAGTTGTTTACTTCAAAATGTATGGAGAACTCAGGAGGCTGAGATAGGAGGATCGCAGTTCAAAGTCAGCTCGAGCAGGAGAAACCGTGAGACTCCTGTCTCCAATAAACCACTAGAAAACAGGAAGTGGCGCTGTAGCTCAAGTGGTAGAGCGCTCGCCTTGAGCTGAAGAGCTGAGGGACAGCGCCCAGGCCCAGAGTTCAAGCCTCACAACCGCCAAAAAAAAAGTGTATGGAGAGGGGCTGGGAAGGTGGCTCAGTGGTAGAGCGCTTGCCTTGCATGCATGAGGCCCTGGGTTCAATTCCTCAGCACCACATAAGCAAAAAGAAAAAAGCCGGAAGTGGTGCTGTGGCTCAAGTGGTAGAGTGCTAGCCTTGAGCTGAAGAGCTGAGGGACAGCACCCAGGCCCAGAGTTCAGGCCCCACGATCAGACAAAAAAAAAAAATTGTGTTTCAAAGACATGCAAAAATGGCTGTTGGGACATTATTATTTTACTTAACTATTCTTTTTCTATTTCAAGGTTTGGTTGGAATAGTTTGGTTTATTTTATGGATCTGGTTAGTTAGTGATACACCAGAAACTCACAAGACAATCTCCCCTTCTGAAAAAGAGTATATTCTTTCATCATTAAGAACTCAGGTATGGATTTTATTTTAAAATTTGACATAATTTTAATTGTCTGATTACAGGGAAGTACAATTTAACAAGGGAGATACAATTTAACATGACTAAGTGTCCAGTGCTTCTTTTTTTTTCTTTCTTTTCCATAGGTAATGGGGCTTGAACTCTGGGCTTGGGCACTGTCCCTGTGCTCTTCAGCTCAAGGCAAGCGCTCTACTCCTTAAGCCAATGCACCACTTCCGGTTTTCTAGTGGTTTTTATTGGAGATCAGAGTCTCACTGACTTTCCTGCCCTGGCTGGCTTTGAACTGAGATCCTCAGATCTCAGCCTCCTGAGTAGCTAGGATTACAGGCATGAGCCATCGGTGCCCAGCTCCAGTGCTTCTTAATCAATTACTCTTTCCATCATTCTCCTCCAGCCTATTTCCTCCCCCCAGACTCATTTCACCTTTACCATTTCCTTAATCACATATATACATTAAATATTCTTTTTTTTGTCGGCCGTGGGGCTTGAACTCTGGGCGCTGTACCTGCACTCTTCAGCTCAAGGCCAGCGCTCTACCTCTTGAGCCATAGCACCACTTCCGGTTTTCTAGTGGTTTATTGGAGATCAATGTCTCACGGACTTTTCTGCCCGGGGACTGGCTTTGAAACGTGATCCTCAGATGTCAGCCTCCTGAGGCGTGAGCCACCAGTACCCAGCACATTGAATATTCCTTTTTTTTTTTGGTTCGGTCATGGGGCCTGAACTCGGGGCTTGGGCACTGTCCCTCAGCTCTTCAGCTCAAGGCTAGCGCTCTACCACTTGAGCCACAGCGCCATTTCCAGCTTTTTTCTTTTTGCTTATGGGGTGTTGAGGAATCCAACCCAGGGCCTCATGCATGCAAGGAAAGCACTCTACTACTGAGCCACCTTCCCAGCCCCACATTGAATCTTCTTATATTTGTCTGTGATCCCTTTTTCATTTGTCCATTCCTCCTTACTCACCCCTGCTTACAATCTCTTTCAACTTCCTGATAATTACTGGTGCTTTTTTTTTTTTTTTATCGGTCATGGGGCTTGAACTTTGGGCTTGGGCGCTATCCCTCAGCTCTTCAGCTCAAGGTAAGAACGCTACCACTTGAGCCACGGTGCCAGTTCCAGTTTTCTAGTGGTTTATTGGCGATAAGAGTCTCAAGAGCGGGGCTGGGAAGTTGGCTCAGTGGTAGAGCGCTTGCCTTGCATGCCTGAGGCCCTGGGTTCGATTCCTCAGCACCACATAAGCAAAAAGAAAAAAAGCCAGAAGTGGTGCTGTGGCTCAAGTGGTAGAGCACTAGCCTTGAGCTGAAGAGCTGAGGGACAGCGCTCAGGCCCAGAGTTCAGGCCCCACAACCGGACCCAAAAAAAAAAAAAAAATGTCTCAAGAGCATCCCTGCCTGGGCTGGCTTTGAACTGTCATCCTCAGATCTCAGCCTCCTCAGCAGCTAGGATTATAGGCTTGAGCCACCAGTGCCCAGTTTGTTTTTGTTTTGTTTTTTAAGAATGTATTTGGAAGATATAAGACATAGCTTGCCCCATTCAGGATGTCTTCCTATGTCTGGGAATGTGGCTTAGTGGTAGAGTGCTTGCCTAGCATGCACAAAGCCCTGGGTTTCATTCCTTAGTACCACATAAACAGAAAAAGCCGCCGGGCGCCGGTGGCTCACGCCTATAATCCTAGCTATGCAGGAGGCTGAGATCTGAGGATCTCGGTTCAAAGCCAGCCGGGGCAGGAACATCCGTGAAACTCTTATCTCCAATAAACCAGTAGAAAACCAGAAGTGGCGCTGTGGCTTAAGTGGTAGAGTGCTCTCCTTGAGCTGAAGAGCTGAGGGACAGTGCCCAAGCCCAGAGTTCAAGCCCATGACTGACAGAAAAAAAAAGAAAGAAAAAGAAAAAGCCTAAAGTGGTGCTGTGGCTCACGTGGTAGAGTGCTGGTCTTGGTCAGAAGAAGCTCAGGGACAGTGCCCAGGCCCTAAGTTCAAGCCCCAGGACTGGCAAAAAAAGAAAGATGTCTTCCTACATAGGGTAGCTATACAACACACACACACACACACACACGCACATACACTTAAATTGCAAATATGTGTAAAGGGTTTCAGGGGGGTGGGGGGTTGCTGTTCTTGTCAGTCGTGGGGCTTGAACTCTGGGCCTGGGCTCTGTCCCTCAGTTCTTCAACTCAAGGCAAGCACTCTACCATTTGAGCCACAGCGCCACTTCCAGCTTTTTCTGCTTATGTGGTATTGAGGAATCAAACCCAGGGCCTCATGCATGCAAGGCAAGCACTCTACCACTGAGCCCCTCTGTGAGACTCTTATCTCTAACCACCAGAAAAAAACAAAGTGGAGCTATAACTCAAAGTGATAGAGCACTAGCCTTGTACAAAAAAGCTCAGAGACATGAGCACCTAAGCCCTGAGTTCAAGCACACAAATGACACCTCCCTCTACCCCTACTCCCAAAAATTTTTCTTGTCATTCTTCTGTTTTTTTGTTTGGTTGGTTGGTTTTATTTTGTTTATGCAGTAGGTCTGGGGTAGAGTTCAGCTAGCTATAATTTTAATGTGAGAGAGGCAATGCTGAAGGACAGCTGGAATGGAAAGGTACTGCTGCACTAGAATGATGCACTCTCCCTGGTGTCCCTCACATCTGACATCCTGGGAAGTTCACCTACTAGGATATCAAAACTAAAGTCCCTAGCAGAAAAGCTGTGAGAATGTGAATACCACCAGGTACTGTCACTTATACCTGTAATCCTAGCAACTCAGAAGTCTGAGATAGGAGCATTGTGGTTCAGAGGCAGTCCATTGCACAAAAGTCCATGAGACACATATCTCCAGACACCAGATTAAACACCACAAAGTTGGAAATGGAGCTGTGGTTCAAGTGGTAGAGCACCAGCCTTGGGGCAGGGGGAGGGGGGAGGGAGGAAGTGACAGAGTGACAGCTCAGGCCCCGAGTTCAAGCCTCAGTAATGGCAAAGAAAGAGAATATCCGTTGTTACTTTTTCTGAAATTTCAGTGACCCCTGAAAACAGACATAGATTGTTCTGGCTTTTCAGAAAGGAACCAGAGCCTTGGTTTGTAGGAAATGTGACAGCCTGATACTCCATCCTGTTTATATGTATGGAATCAAAATGGATAAAGCATGGTATAGACACAGGACTGAGATTCCATAATGTAACTCCTTTCAACAGTGAACAAGCAGTTTAACAAAATGAATACTAGGAACCTGAAATGTGTCTTGTCTGATGGATTGGGAGGTAAAAGTCATGTGGGAACAGATGAATGGAGAGAGAAATGACAGGCAAATAAGTTTATAAGATCCAGTTTAAGTACATGCAAATGGAATTGGAGCTTGATGAGATGGCTGGAGAAGGGACAGGTGAGAGGTAGGGGAGAATGATGGAAAATGCATATGTACATAAATGGAAACCCGCTGTACAACTAGTTGAGAATTTGATAAGAAAGAGAGGAGGGAGGAAGGAAGGAGAGAACTGAAGCCAAGTGCTGCAATCCTGGCTACTCAGGAGGCTAAGAGAAAAAGAAAACAAAAACAGCAACAAAAGACAAACCTCTTGTTTCCATTTCCTGGAGTTCATTTTAATAAATATTATTTTATATGGTCAGATGCACATAGCCATTGTGCCTTTGTGTTTCTCTCTGATAACCCTTGTTTTTTTTGGGGGGGGGTCCTGTTGTGGGGCCTGAACTCTGGGCCTGAGTGCTGTCCCTCAGCTCTTCAGCTCAAGGCTAGCACTCTACCACTTGAGCCACAGCACCATTCTGGCTTTTTTCTTTTTGTTTATGTGGTGCTGAGGAATCGAACCCAGGGCCTCATGCATGCAAGGCAAGCACTCTACCACTGAGCCACCTTCCCAG